GAGCAATCGCATTGTCTGATTGTCCACCAATTTAAGTGCACCTGTGGTCGAGCGACATGGCAGTTATCACAACGGATCAAAGAACACAATCCCCGCTGGCTCACACAGGGTGGGAGTACAGTTATGTCCAGCCATCGAGCTTGACGCTCGATGGTTGCTCATGTGTTAAAGAGGGGACACTTGGTTGACATGCGCGCGGCAGTTACAATCACTTATCGAGTCTCAACACACCTTGAGAGCAATGCGGTTTCGGACGTTAGCAGCCACAGAGGCGATTAGCATCCGATTCATGAAGTCTGAGCCGTACGCACAACGAAAATTGGTTTAAGCTCTTAATCTCCTCTAGCCAATGGAAGAGATAATCGCTTGTTCACATCACCGTGACGTAACATAACGACTTTAGGTTACGTAATCCAAACAGCGTACAAACTTGAAGTTCTCTCGATCGCATTAACAACCACATGACTCATCCACCTTTCAAAGGCTTGAAAATGAATACATTGAAAACATGTTCGCCTACATTGTGGGTTCTTAGGCAGAATCTGTCACGATCGTGCAAGTGTAGGTAAGTCGTCTGGATACTGCCCTTACCAAGAGGCATTTCACACCAACAAAATCTTCTTCGAAATATCTAAGATAGTGTGAATTGACGACTAGCATGAAGAAGTAGACTTATATGTCAGGGAATCAGCATACACCCCGAAAACTGCTTTCCCCCCGGACAGCCAATAAAAATAAAGATAGCTTAACTCAGCTGATCGGTCGGAACCGTAGGAATTTAACAAAAATCCAGTCAGTCAATCATGTTACACATGCATACCCATATTCTTTCTCTTTCCTGTGTATATGCATGCTTTTTTGCACAAAAAATTAACTCGTACACGCTTCCAGCTGTGTTTTATTGCAATTACTATGATATCATTCTCTGGGAGAGAAATTTTACCGGAAAACAGTCATTTGGGAATCCGGTGTCGAGACTAATTCGTGCGCTTAACCATATCCGTTTCCAGTTGATTTATTGGAAGTAGAAAAAAGAGCTTGTGGAAGAACAAACCAGGACAAATGGTATTTTAAACCTCCTGGAAAAACTAAAGTCAATCCTTGTAAGCACGTTTTTCTGTTATTTTCTAAGCAGCAACCAAGTTTCCTCACTTTTATCAACCGTTCAACGAAACAACACCTGCCAACCTGGTTGCGACCGTAAATTTTTAATAATAATTACTCTTATTAGTATGGTGATGGCTTCATATTTCTATCACTGACGCGAGGTACGACAGTTAGTGAGGAATGACAGTATCCTTTCACATACACATCACACGACGGATTTTAGTTGAACTCTATCGACAAGCTCGAAAGTATTCACTTTCGAAATACGATTTTCGTAAGTTTGAGAAGGTTCCCTGAGTGCAATTCATTACAGTTCAGTTCAGTTCAATTCAGGTTGCACAAGCCGAATATAGGTCCTTACCAATCCAATGTCCAGTTATTTTTATTGTCGACGGATGATCGTAGCTTCCAACATAGGGTATAACTAATTTGTTCCCTATGATCTTTTCCATCTAGCTCAAGTTCCAGGAAGTTGACGTCTTCATTGGCCACGTTGAAAGAGAGAAAACAAAGAAGGGTGTCTTCGCACCTCATAGGTGTGAAGTTTCTCAAACGTTCCGGTATGAGGTGCACATATTGTGTCGTAAGACATCCAGTATGAGTATTGTTCCAGAAATCAAGGCCAATTTTTCAGGCTATCGTCGATTCCACTGGCGGTATCCTCAATCTAATTACTAACCTCCAGGAACATTGTCGACTAACGTGAATCCATTGCCACCTTCTAAATTTTGACATTGTGAAAAGCAATTGTCCCGGGTCTCCAACCCAGCTTGATTATCTTATAGTAGAAAATCATTACCCTCAAGTGGCCGACTGAGTTCCCATCCTTACAGTCCGGGTATAGCGACCCTCATATGACTTGTGAGCTTGACTCAGCTGGTGACATTTGGTTCTGTGTGAGTTACAATCATTGAACAATATTCACAATGGGGTTGCAGTTCACGTTTTCCCTACATGGTCATCTACACCTCCTACTCATGAACTGTGTATCGAGAACTATTTTGCTTAGCCCTCGATTATAGACCACTTCAGAATTTTGTAGTTTACGGACTACATGCATTGGTAAGTCATTCAGAAGATGGATCGGACAGATCGGATAAGTCTATCACTATGTCTACATCGGTATCAATCATGAAATGCAAGTTTTAATGGGGAAAGTTTGATGATTAAATGTTCCAAAGCAGTTTAGTAGGCTTTCCAACTAAATCACTACTAACGGTGAATATTGCAGTGGTAATAGCTAGTGCGGTCGGCTGAAGTGGAACGAGACATTTGAGTCAGAATGGCATGTAAGACTGCCAAATCCCGTCTTTTGTAGGGACCAATGGAGACACGCGCAACTCCAATCTCATGCAATATTATGTTTGTTTTCTTTTAAACAAAATCGTATTCGTCTGAAATTTATCACAGTCGTTAGAGTTGTTTCAGGCAAAGATGAACATCCTCGAACTGGCGATCAGGATCGCATTCACCAGTTGAGCGTTTCGAACAGCCACCAGCGTCACCACCACCAAGTACATAGACGAAGGGAAGACAAGCCTCTGTTGTTCACCAGAAAATGTTTGTTCAGAGGCCTGGGTGCCAGGTGGCTGAGCGGGCGGACGGGCGGGCAGGCGGGTGTGGGGCTCCAAAGCTTGAAACGTAGGGGTGACTGACCGAAAAGTATATGCACAAATAGGGGAACTGAACAGACTGATTCAATGTGACAATCGATTTCAGGATGTCTGTGTGTGTGTGTGCGTGTATTTGTACACGGTGCTGAATCGGAGATGGTGGTCATCTCATGGGGACAATCATAAACCATTTGTTCTACCAGCCAGAGAGAAAGATGGTGACGCATGGATGTTGAGACAGATGGTTAGGTCGTCTTCACGTGGAACATCTGAATGCTGTGGACGGGCGCGGGGAACGGAACAAGCGCTCGAATTAGTCACTGTTTCGGCAAATATTTGGTCACGTATCACTTTTTAAAGTTCCTAACATGAGATAAAAACGGGGAAAGAGGAATAGAAAACAACGTGCATTGCAGCAGCTGAACTGGGAGAGGGAGGGGGGGTGTTGCCGATTTCCACGGGTGGAGAAGAGGGGGCGGGGGGTGTGTGGCGGGGTTCGAGTGAATGGAAAATGCGGTAACGTGAGGCCATACTCCCCTAATGAAGGATACCTCAAGCTCCGACAATTTTGCGGACAATAGCACCAGGGAAACTGTAGATGAACAGGGCAACGATCAGCAGGATGAGGAATACGATGAGAATCTTTATCAGAATCCATTTGAGTTTGTACTTCACAAAGTATCGGATGGTGTTCAACGGTCCGAGGATTTTCATGAATGAACTATCCGGTCGACTGTTATCATGGGGGTTGGGGGACGGGGCAGAGGCGAAAAGATAAAAAAAATAAACGATGATGATGCATAGTTGAAAACCGAGTATTTTCCAAATATGAAGGGTTAAATTTATCGGGGACGAAAATCCATCGGCCCGATTGATTTGTGAAAAAATCGACTATGAACACTAATAATGATAAATTACCGAACTATTCGGAGAAAACTTGCTGGAAAATATCAGTGATTTTAAGAATTGTCCACCTAGAGTGTGCAACGTGGACGAGTTATTACACAATAAGGTTTAGTATACATTGAAAGAGCAGTAGCAAAAGGGAGCTTGATCGCAACCGATAGGAAACAGAAATAGACACAGAAGTCAACTAGTGACTGACATCTGATCAAAAAGTTTATGTATTATTCAATATCTACAGTTCTCTAGCTTCTCACCCATGGCTTACAAACATGGACTCGTAAAAACTCTGTTCTATTGCGCCAGAAGAATTTGTTCCCCAGATACACAACGAGAAGAAGAACAATTTCTGAAGAAAACGTTACTACGAAACGGATACCCTGAAAGATTCACTGATATTCACAGTAAACAATCTGAACAAGGTAACCCATCGCCAACTGTTCCCCAGAAAGCCGTTTACATCAAACTATCTTTTAAAGGCGATGTGCGCCAAAAGTTGAAGTCAGCTCTCAACCGCACATTCCCAGCTGCTTATGTATTATTCATCAACCGTGAGGGCACACAAGCAGAAATATGTTAGACACAGTACGCTAGATACCGTGACTTCACGTTCCTTTTCAACAGAAGTCCATAACCCGAGTTGGTTTTTGAAGAGACAGTAATCTACCCTTCTTATCACAACTGTGCGAACAGAGTCGATCCCACAGGGACTTACTTTGGTTTGGGCAAGGCATTCGGTTCCTCACGAGCCTGACCAGCCGGAGAGTTCTCGGCATCCACAGCCGTGAGTAGCTCCAATTCACATTCAACTTTGCCCTAAATTCGAGAAAATGAATAGCTCATGATTAGATGATCATACCTGTGGGGTGTGAAATCAATACGAGTAAAATGCGGACGAATTTGGGGAGCAAAAGTGATTTTTTCCACTTCTGTGTTTCAGCAGTTGCACTATAGATATATCCGTCACCCCACCTGGGGATGAAACACTTTGCAGTCCAAGTTTTTGGAAAGTGCATCTGTGACTCGTGACTCGTGCATTGAAACCACTGAACACCTACCTCATCCAGCTTGTTAGAACTCATCAGAAGAGCAAATTCAATATAATTCGAACCCGGGTACGAGAGGTCACTAACCGATTCACTAGCTAATTGGGGTACTCGGGCTGGCTTTCAGTTGCTTGTAACTAGCCAACGTTTTACGGTATAGTTTCACCTAAGTGTTAAACTCTTTTAACAGATAAATCATGTATCACAAATGCAGTGTAATTTGCACTCACGGATGGCTCGTTTAGAAGAGAAGTAAAAGTTGACATTAGCATCAACTTGAATAATTCATGCATTCGAAGAAACCGATCACAGGAAAGGCGGAACTTACTTGCAATTCTACCCTTTCGTAAATTGTATCAGTACATGGCCACCAACCACGGACGTTGCGATTTTTGAATACAGAAAATTTCGGGCAGTCTGGTTCAAGCTGGTGAAGTCCACAGCTCTTGGGAGTTTTAGCACATCGTGGCATCGCAGAAAGCTTCATGGTTATACTCCCTGTAGGGTGAGAGGGTGGGAACTTTATTGACGACATTCCTCATTGTTTATTTGGTGGTCTAGAGATTTACTAAATAAAAATGACACTAATTCCCTGAGGTCTAAGTCTGAATCCCACTAATTGAGAGAGACCAAAAGGTTTCAGCTTGATTCAGTCAAGCACTTTGAAAATTTTGGGCTTCTGTGACTTGAGTGCCACGGTTTCACCAGAAAAGAATATCAGTGATTGAGATCGTCTGGACATTTTTCAACTTCTACTCTTGAAACAGCAGAGTTTCCTGCTACGATACACAACGCATTACAGATTCCAAGCAAACTACCTGTATACCGTATCCGGCGCTGATTAACATGGCTTTTGACAGTCAAAAGCTTGGAAAAATACTGCTAACTTAGCGTAATAATTCACTCCCAGGCACGGACAACATGCATCCCCGGATTCTGATCTCACTAGCTAATGATATATTCAACCCTTTGACTGTTGTTTGCCAAAGGATGCTCAACAAGGTGATGATTCCGCAGTCACAGAAGGAAGGGGTGATTTCCCCCATTTACAAAGGGGGCTCTCGCAGTGAGCCCGCAAACTGCCGCCCTGTGACACTTCTTCCGATACTGTCGAATGTCGTGGAAGCTATTGTGGTAGATTTGTTCATGGAGTATCTGGTGAAGCATGGGATTTTGTCTCCAACTCAGCACGGATTTCGGCACAAGCGTTCGTGCACCATAAATCTATTCCTCGCACGAGATGAGTGGGCAAAATCCGTCGATGAAGTGAGCCCTTGGACATAGTTTATTTGAACTTCTCCAAAGCTTTTCATCGATTAAATTCTACTGCAAAAAATCTGCAACTACGGAGTAAGAGGTTTGGTAATCGACTAGATCGAAGACTTTCTCCGACAAAGAACCATGTCAGTTCGTGTTGATGATTCATTATCTGAGCCTATCACCGCTGCCCGAGGGGTTCCTCGAGGATCCGCACTGGGGCCTCGCCTCTTTCTTGCATTTATAAACGACCTGCCACACGTCCTTGGGTCTACCTAATACACTACTACTTGTGAACGACGCTAAGATCTGGAGAACTGTAACACATCCAGAGGATTATATAGCACTCCAACAAAAGATCGATGCAGCCCATTGATGGCCAATCGCCAATGACATCGAATTCAACGTTTCCCAATGTAAAGTTATTTCCATGCGGCACAGGACTCGTTTCTCTGGGGAACCAAATACTACCGCATGCCACTGGTGAAAGGGATTTAGGAGTTATGATACAGGAGGATGCAGGATGTTCCACGCACTGTGCCAGAGCATCATCCATGGCTCTAAAGCAAGTTGGACTACTGAAACGCACTTTTGAGCAGTTCGAAAAAGCACTGTTTCCACGCTTGCTATTGGCGTTCGTACGACTACATATGAAGTACGCCGTTCAAGTATGAAATTCATGGTTGAACTGTGACAAGCAAGTTATAGAACGCTCGCAAAGGTTGGTAACAAAATTGTTAAAAGGTCTGTACAACGAGACATACCCCGAAAAACTGCAAATGTTGGGACTCTACTCATCTCAATACCGCCGACTTCGAGGAGACCTAATCTTGGCATATAACAACCACCCTTTCCGTTCTGTGCTGACTTTATGTCAAAATGATCACCTCAGGGGACATCCACTAAAGTTGAAGATCCAGAACAGCCATCTTGATTGCCGGTATCATTTTTTTGCAGTCAGAGTGTGCGGCGTATGGAATTCTCTTCCACCCGATGTAGTGTATGCTCCCACAGTTGAACTGTTTAAATCGCAACTTGACAAAACATTGGAACATTTAAAGTCTCGACATCGGTGAATGATCATGCAACTTGTTGTTACTATTATTTTCTCTTTGTGAAGTTATTCAAAATATTCTATAAAAATCCTATGGGGCATGATAAGCTTTAGCTTTGTTAAACTGACCATAAAAGGATACCTGATGAGTGGCAAAAACCTTGGTCATTTGCTACCCAGACAGTTTGATTCCACTTTGTCAGATACTGTGCGGTTATCCAAAATCGGTCAGCCGTTTAACTCGAGTGATTGCTAATTATCTATTGATACACGTTACTATCTCCCATTCGCTGTTCAGGACGAAAAGAGCAACGCTTACCAAGGAAATTATCCGCGGATAACAAGTCTGCATCCCAGATCTGCAGGGTCAATTCACAGTTGGCTTTGACCATCATCGGTTCCAGATCGAATGGTCCTTTGACAGGGTAGACAATTCGGTCTTCCGCTTGGATGTAATCGAACGGGAAGATGAAACGCCAGTTGAAGTTACCCTCGCCGGACAATGAGCTTGATGTACAGAGTAGAAAACGGAGTGAAGGTAGCGAAGAAGAGCGCACAAAATGGTGGTATATTGGGACAGTTACTACTGGTTACATAAAGAGCAAAAGTGACTCGTTTGATTAAACAAACTTCTTTTATTTTAGTGTTCTTCATTTTTATAACAGTGACCGAGGTCGTACACAGATAGCAATTTCTGGAAGCGCAAGTCTTTCGTATATCGGTTATCCATTGAACTGATTCGATTCCCGACTTCGGAAACCATGATGGCATGGATTTATATGTGCACTGTTCCGCGTTTTATAAAGTGTTTCCATAGAGAGTATCAAGCTTGGATTAGCCCATTCGATTTTTCAGAGGTACCAGGCACTCTTGATGGTGTTGCACGTGGGTTTCACTCCTCGGACTATCGTTAATTCCTCACGAGATAATGCATTCGAAGGCGATGGAAATGTTTGTGATAACCAACAAAGAGCACTGGGACAGCTGTTTCGTCTTGTTTTGGACTCGTCAGCAGTGCGTACTTTTTGTGTCCCTGTCAGGACTCAAACTGCAATTTTTCGGGCTGGGACTTCAAACCCTTACCCTTGAACTACATGGTCCTGACAAGGACACAAGGAGAACGCACTGCTGACGAGTCCCAAGCAGGACAAACAGCTGTCTAGTGCTGTCTGTCGGTTATCACAAACATTTCCATGGCATTCGAATGTTCCCATTGCTTGGGAGGACAGTTAACCGCTAAGTGATAGTTCAGACAAGTAGAGAGGTAGACATGTTCGGTCAAGAAAAGTTATCCGAACCTACCTGCACCGCGGCATAGACCATATAAACATTCTCTAGAAGCTTCCTTGACTATGGTGACACACATAGACACGCATTTAACCAGTGGGTTGCTGGGTCAGGGGGAGATGATCTTGTTCAACCATTTTTCTTTTCCTTATCCAAATTGTTTGCCATTTGAGATTTTTGTGAACTTTCCTTGAAAAAATTTTAGCTTTTGTCTGAGATGTGATACGATAGAATGCAGTATCGTACGAACTGTTTGGCATAAATAAGGTGATCTTCCGTACTACTTTTTATAAGTAGGAGGTTATATTCTAGAGCATGGCGTTTGGTTTTCCCCCTAAGCCACTGTATAGTTCCAGTCAAACAAGAAAACAAGAAGTTGGTTTACAGGACTCCTACATTTGGGCAGTCGCAGTGTATTCATTGTAAGTTAATAGCACGGCTTTAGGCACATAACTCGGAATCAGTTGAGGGATGCGGAGCGAGAGTTCACAGGAATTATTCATTGAATGTCTTCAGGTCAAGAAAGAAGCAGACGAACACTGCTGTTTTCAAATCAGATCCACGAGAATCTGGATGCAATACGATATTCCCGAGTGAACAGATGTACACAACCTCAGAATTGTGAATGCTGTATTTCGCTGTATGGAAGAGAGATTACTCGAGTCATGAAAACCCTGGGGTTTGATGATAGAATATAGCTAAACGCTTCGAATTCGTCCCTCGCAAAGCACTCATTGTCAAACATCAGATGGAGAGAACAGATCGATAAATGTTAAATACTGCCCACGGGAACTGATAAAATGTGAGCAACATATTTGTGAAAAAATAACGCTTACCGATAGTGAACGTCGGTCTTTTGATCATCTATTCCGACTCCTTTCACCCAACCCTTCACGTAAATATCACTACTCTGCTCCGAGGAGAACAGTGACGTGTCATTCAGAATCACCTAAATGTGTGAGAAGTGATCGGGGGAGAGATGGATATGTCGATTAAAAATTTCCTTGGATGAAAACAACACAGCGACAACACACACCATCAACAAAAATGTGCGTAATCCGAAGTCAGGTGAAAACCACCAATTAAGACAGAAATTTGCTTGTTAGCCGATTTCTATCATTTTTATCCGGGCCAAATAGATCGCATCTCGAGTGGTGCTCTAGTTGTATTTCTTGTTTGTTTGCCAGAAAAAAAAACATCCAGAAAAATTTCTATGCACCTATTCAGAAGCCAGTAATTGGTTGATAAACCCCAGGTGATCCCCTCTGTTGAGCTTGTGGAAATCGGGCGGTGGTCGCCCGGTGGTAACGTCACCAAATGACCACCCTGGAGGACGCGTGTTCGAATCCCACCACCACCGCCTTACCTCCTTAATTGTTTGTTGTATGACAGCCCTTTGATTGACCGCTTCCCCCTTCCCGAAAACTGTATCATTATGTATTCGATAAAAGGGAGTGAAAATAAAAAACTCCCAAAATTTTACCCACAGTTATATCGTGAGTACATACGCAAAATGCTCACTAGGGTGATTTCCACATGACGCGTGGGTTCCTGAATGCTACATTTGCAAGGAAAAAAACGATTTCAATCTCAGGGAATCTCAATGAAAATATTCGGAATCAGAGCTTTATTTAACTTTCAATCAGAGCATCAACGCTTATCTGTTGTTCTAACTACTAATAGATATGCCGAGCTGACGAGAACCACTAATTCAAGTTTGTTTAGACGCCAGCCTCAGAAATAGTCAGTCAGTCATTGGCCAGGTAACAATAGCAACGGGGGATACTGTGCGATCTCTTACCGCAACAATTAAAGCCTCTCAGCAAACTAGATTTCTGTGTCTGGATTAGGAAGTTATTTTTATCGCCATTTTACTCGCAAATGCCTTAGAACACTCAATTTCGCTTCTTTCCATTTCAGATGGTTTTCTTCGAAGCACGTTTATTTAGAATCAGCTCTTCGCATTCTGGGAGGGTGTCTTGTAACACGTTCATCCTAAACAGCAAAGAAACGAGCACACTCTACTACTCTGATACATGTACCAGGTGTTTCAACAATCCGGAAACCTACATTGTGATTGCTTCATCGTTTCCCATCGTCTCGTCCCTCTCACTTGTGACCTTAAACACGTAAATTCCCTCTGGCCCTTTATGTGATCTGATTGGATCATATTCCGCGATCTGCGGCACTTGGAATCCCTCACCCCAACAACAGACTGTCTGTACGTTTTGTAATGCTCTTGTTGTTACGTCCAGTCCATCCGTGCGCTGATGGTACTCCTGCTGCACGGTCGAAGTTCACTGAGCTTGCCTGACACTCACGGCTGTAAGCAAACTGGCTTCTCGCTCGGGTTAGCTGGGCAAGCACCAGATCCCTTGATGCGGCCGAACCATTCGACCGATCGATAAATGAACCCGATCGGTCGTGTGGTTTTTGGGCCGGCACAGGAGGAGGATAAGTTCCGAATCCGATGATGCTTAAGTGTTGGTAGAGAATCACCACAAAAGAATAAGTTTTGGAGTGGTGTCTGAGTTAACCTCGATCACGTGACAACTGGGATAGCGTGGAATCTTGTGCAAAATGTGTACGACTGATATCACGTTGTTATGTCTTGATATCAAGACGATGTGATCGATACGTACGCCTCTTGTCTAGGCCCCAACAACCGGAGAAAGAACACTGCTGAGAAACGACAGTCAGAGTGCACTCTTGATCATGAAACAACAAGCAAATATATGTGGTCAGTTGGGCGTACGCGAGCAGACGTGGTGACGCGCCAATCAGATCGTGACCTTGACACTCAAGTTGATCGACAGCTATTTGATTCGCCTTAGTCATCCAATCAGGAGTCGATTCGGCTTGGGCGTCACGAGCGCACTTGTGGTGTGACGCGCGTCGCTGCGTGGCAGGACGGATTTTGTGCGCTCCGTCCTAACACACCTACTACGGATGGGGGCACGACAATGTTTCGGAGTTGGAATATTCGCCTGCGTGGGGTGCATGAATCAGACTCATTTACAATGTGATTGTTCCATCGTTTCTCATCGTCTCGTCCCTCTCACCAGCGACCTTAAACACGTAAATTCCCTCTGACCCTTTCTATGATCTGACTGGGTCCGAATTTCCCACCTAAGCAGCATCAGATTCGGAACCTACCCTCCTCCCGTGCCGGCCCGAAAATCACAGATCGGTCGGGTTCATTTATCGATCGGTCGAATGGTTCAGCCGCAACAAGGGATCTGGTGCCTGCTCAGCCAACCCGAGCGAGAAACCACACAGCCGTGAGTCTTAGGCAGGCCCAGTGACCGACTATGCAGCAGAACTGCCATCAGCACTCGGATGGATGGAATATGATCCAATCAGATCACATAAAGAGTCAGAGGAAATTTGCTTGTTTAAGGTCACGAGATGGACAAAACGATGTGAAACGATGGAGCCTCTAGCACTATATATTCGTAGAGATGGGAAGACTATTGACACAAACGTGATTCAAAATCTTACCGAGGAGATACGTGTAGAGATTTTCAGAGGGAATGAACAGTGCACCCATTAACAAACTGGCTCCAATAAGGGTGTAATACTTTCATCGCTGGGGAAATTTTGTTTATTTACCTATTTTCGTTAAAATATGATTCTGAGTAGAGCACGACTAGACGAAGCCAGCATGCAGTAGGGAAGGGGGGGCTGGGCAATTTCAAACTCGATGCGATATGCATGCCCAGCATCCGAAACAGCGGTATAAATAACTAAGAAAATGAACGTATACATAATTTCATTTTTCATTGCCTAGTGATGAAAATATCCCCAAACCATGTAGCTGGCATTTTTGTAGTAGTGAAAATAGTTGCATCATTAAGTTCTTGGGATATGGTAAAATGTATGTATGCACCGGTCACGTGAATCATTCCAACTCACGTCTGCTGTGTTCCACACAATCACACGCAATTCCCATTTGAATGGCTGTCTGGGTGAAATATCGATCGCGGGCGGAGGGACTGCAACCTCACGTTCGAATAGATCGACCCACATTTGTAATTTGCCTTGAGACAGGCCGGGTCGATCGGGATGTACAAGGTCACGGGTCTCGATGTGTTCTTTCACAAGTCGAATATCCGGTTCGATCATTTGATAGTTGTTTAACACTTGAAGGGCCAGTGGTTCCACTGATTTGATCGTGTTTCCTGAGATGAATTATCACCAGAAAGGACAAATCAGAATAGTCTCTGGAAAAAGATCCTCCTGTCCTATTACAGGAATTGGTATATATCAGCAGAGTTTTTATTTACACTCCCGGCAAAAATGTAACCAAACCAGGTAAAGACATATCATCGTGAAAAACCACTCATTAACAAAACATGATCACAACGCACAAGTTTTTCCATGTGATCTATTCTACCTACGTTCCCGGAATCCGAAAATCAATATCCATGTTGTTAGATGACTGCAAACGTAAGCATTATAGTTGAGTACAACCAGGATGATTTCAGTCTCAATGGATTCGAAAACATTTCTTCTTTATGTTTCTGTTCGTCACTATCCGATTTGATCGATTGATCTGATGTGCATCGGTGTTTGTTACCCAAGCACTACGGAATACAGAGCAGTACTTCTTCAACATAAAGTTCATACCTAATGAAATCGTTGCAGTGACAAATCTACTGGCTTTCTGTTGCACAAGACCTAAGCATACAGGCTGCCGAGCGATGTGAGCTGTTGTTGTCGTTCGCAAAGCAGCGACCGGTAACGCTTGAATCTTCAAACCCAACATTGCGACCATACACTTATTTACACCGTGTCAGTATCAACTCCTGACTAAATATAGCCAAAGTTCTGTGATTTGTTGGCAGAATTCGTATAACTACTTAAATAATAATCATACTAATTATAAGTAGAACACTTGAAGTTCGAATTCGTAGATTGATAATCAGTGCACAACAAACCTTTCACACAGGGTGTAGTCCTGCCATTACTTTCTGCCATACTAAACCTAACATCACCTTTGAATTTCAACAATTTTTGTTGTTAGTCATTATTCAGAAGAGATGTAGCTATGACTTATCCATCAGAGTGTTTCCGTGAAACCCAATTCGGTGTACATTTATCTAACAGGGCCACAAAGCGACAGTGTTAACGGAGAAAATCCATTGGCTAAACCGCTAGCACACAGCTGTTTATCAAAGCACAAAGACCGAACCAATGACAGCACTCAAACACACGCACACACTCCACTATCAAATCGGCAAAATACCTGTTTCGTTTTTAATCTCCGTTTTACTACGGAATTCCTGACCGTCCACCGTCACCAAGTTTTCCAACAGATTGTAAACCGGAGCAGGTTTACCCCGAGCTTTGCACAAACGTTCCAAAATTTCAGTCGGCAACAGACTGTCTTTCCATTTGGCGTAACCATGTCTGAAAAGCGTGTGTGTGTGTGTGTGTGT